TAGCTTTGTTTAATGCACTATAACTTTATTGTTTAGCAAACTTTATATAAGGACTCTGAGACACAACTTAATAGTTTGACAGCCAACTGACGTTAATGTGAATGTGATAAAACAATTAGTCATTTAAAAATATATTACGTTAAATTGCACACAGTGTTTTAAATAAGGGAGAAATAACAAGATTAAGTATAAGTTAACACAAGACTGACTTTAAACGACCGTAACTTGACAATACAAAAAAAAATTTCTTCAGTATTTAAATACATTTTACTATACTATATTTGACTATAATCTAGCCACCGCTTATCTAGAGTAGGCTCCGAAACATTTAGTGAGAAGTTATAATTAGCTGGCGATGATATTTTAAACTACATTTTAATGCATTTCAAACAGAAAACAAAATGAGAGTGTCATAAAATCGCTGCACTGCATGATAGAGAAAATTCCACTAAAGGTTCCCTTAGTGAAGTTAACTAACTTCTCCTTCCTCTCGCGCAGCGCGATCAGTTCCTCCTGGTGGCGACGCTCGCGCTCCTCCTTCTCCCTCTTCTCCTCTTCCTCCTTCAGCCGGCGCGCCTCCTCCGCCGCGCGCTCTTCTGCGAGCTGCTTCTCCGACAACCACTGAAAACATTTAATTTCTATTTGTAAATCACATTATCTTCAGTTGTAAATAAACTCAAATTTAAATTGAATGTTAAGATGTAAAGGCTTATCGAGTTTTGTTTCAATTTATTGGTTACTTTATTTGTTAATTCGTTCTAATGTAAATGAAAATATTATTAAAATAAATATTACTTGAAAAATATGTCTCGCGCAGACTTTACGTAATTTTTCTCGGTCGGGGGTAAATAAATTGGGGAGAAATTAAAGAGATTTTTATTTTATTCTAGCCCAATAATTAAATTTTTTCGAGTCAATATTTTTTTCTGGTTATCTTATAACAAGTAGAAACGTTTTTAATAAAAAAGTGCATATTCCCTATAACCAGAACAAGTAAGTAATCATATTTTACTTTATAAGCTTAAATAAAAACCTGTCATTGGCTGTACTACCACTATGTTTTTATATGTATACGCTGTTGTTTTACTTATATAAATAAAAAAAGTAAGCTATACCTCCTGTCTTCGTTTCTCTATACGCTGCGCTTTGCGCTGCGCCAGTCTTGCCTCGCGTTCATTAGTGAGCCGCAGCTGGAAGTCAGCTAAACACTTGAGGTGCGCAGCGCCGCGCTCGCTGCGCAGTCGCGACGTGAACTGCTCGCGGTGCGCAGACATGCGCGACAGCCGGCTGGCGGTCGCCACGTCACGAGCACGCGCCTCTGTAATAGATATTATTTCGAACTGTATTATTTTCTAGAAATTTCCATCAACGATTTTATAGAAAAATGATTGTTCTAATATCCGGGAATTTCTTCACTTTATTTTCTTAAGGTGACTTTTATTTGTATAAAAATATTATTAGGAGTAGGCTCTTTTTAGTAATTATCTAATTTTGAATATTATATTATCACAAAATCAACGTTCCTTTAATAAAATTAGATTCTAAAAGTAATATGATATTGACATAAGCAGATATTGATAAAAGTTGTAAATATTACATTTTTATATTATAAAAAAAAATCATGAGTTTACCAATAGGTATTTTTTTAATTGTTTTTTTTTTATAATTATTAAGAGATTTATCACTTAATCTAAACAATTAACTGTTTCTAGTAATCTTAAATATGAGTTTTCACTGCCATAACATTTATACAAAATGTCGTCTATAACTTACCAATAAGTTGTTGTATGCGCTCCTTCTCCTGCTGTTCCCAGAACGCCTTATCCTGCACCTGCTTCTCTTCTAGGCTCTTCTGCAGTAACGGGATCTCCTCCAAGCGTTTGGCTCGCTCGAAATAGTCCACCTGTATTATTGAGTTTTTAATAATTTAGTAAGTTTATATCCGACTCGAAGGACCAATTTCGACTGATATATTTAATTATGTATACTAATTTAAAAATGACTAACATATCTATTTCGCTTATTTTAAGTACTTATGGTTGTAGATCAGAACATTATTTAATGGTTCACCTTCTTCTCCTGCGACTTGAGGCGCGCTTGCAGCTCTCTGCGCTCCTTCATCAGCTCCTCAGCCTCGCGCTTGGATATGGCATCCGCGTCCATTTTCTTCAAATCCTGTTACATATATTTGAATTAGATTACTTTTTAACTTATTAACCCCTTTTATAATCACATTTACAAAAAAAAACTTATTACAAATAAATTATTAACATAGAAACAAAGATATTTTTTTCATATGATTTTACAGTGATTATTATATTTGATATATTTGAAGTCCATCGATAGTGACTACGGCCTTAACTTAGGGCAAGTGCGAGCCCGATAAAAACAAATATGTAGTAACGACCTATCAAATGCTTTTGGTATAATATATGTAGGGGTTGTGGTATTTTCTAGTAGTTAGTATTTACCTCTTCATCTAGTTTCTGCAGCACCTTCTTGCCGTGCATGGTCTGCGAGATGTGCGCGATGCGCTCGCGCAGATGCCGCTCGCGCATGGCGGCCATCTCGGAGGCGTGGCGGCGCTTCTCGCGCTCTTCGCGCTCCGCCTCCAGCCGGCGCGCCTCCGCCGCCGCCCCCAGCCGCTGCTGCTCCTCCACGCGACTACATTACAAATATGCCTTTTATAAACTATAATATTTTAGAAATTAGTTCCTTTAAACTATGTTCTACATTACTCCCAAATTTCATATGGCAGTATGATTCAAAATGTTAAAAGGTTCGTTGTTCGCGGGATAGTGTTTAGCGATTCACCATTACATATGGGACATCAAAAATTTATTGTAAAAAGCGTGTTTTATTATCAACACGTTAGCCTTTATTTGGCCACTATTATGTTTCATGTATAGATATTGCAATTAAAAACAAAGAAACACACTACATGAAAGATTTTTTTTCATTAACCTATCAATGCACACCACAGATACTATTTATACTTGAAGTATTTTAAATTTCCCTCTAGAAGTCTTCAATACTGTAATTTGCATATACTAACCGTAGTTCCTCTTCCTCTCGGACGGTGTTCAGCCGTTCAATATACTCCTTCCTCTCCTCTATAATCTTATGTCTCTGCAGCACCCTGTGGTGCTCGGCGTGCTTGTTCTCGTGGTAGTGCTGCACCATGTGCGCGCGGTCCCGCTCGCGCTCCGCTCGCCGCCGCTCCGGGAACAGCTCGTGTACCGCCTTGGACAGCACCTCGGCTGCACGGACTAGTTGTTCACGCATCTATAACATAACGATAGTTGAAAGACTGTTTTAAACCATTACGTTAAATGTTCAGGAGAGCCGTTTAAAATTGAAGTTTTTGGAAAAAAACAAAAACAAATACTGAAAAAAAAATTATTTAAAAGATTTTCAGACCGGTTCTAGATTAAAATTACTTTAATTCTGCATACTTCATTCAATCCACTGACTATTAATAATTGCTGATTTTTTGGCGCTTCATACGCCACATAAGTGCTCTGACCTTATGAAACCTGATCAAATAAACGCAGAAAAATTCGCTGATTCTGAATATGTAGAAGTCAATATCGCCTAAAAAAGCGGTTGAAATAACTAGCCTTTCTCCCGTCGATATATAGAATTAGTATTGTAAGTAGTCCAAATAGACTTTCAGATTCACGGAAGATCTAACAATGTATTACACAGTGGACCAGATCTTCGGGGACATAGATCCGTTAATATATTGGCCAAAGTGGTCCAAAAAGACCATCAGGGTCTACAGAAGAAATTATGTATTAAACAGTGGTCCAGGTAGATCGTGGACCACGGAAGATGTAACAATGATATGCAAATAATATAGCGAGAAATAAAGTTGATGGTTCATGCTGAAAAAATATATATTAGGAGGTTTACCAAGACCTGTATTTTTTAAAATAAATATGTGTTTTCATTGTATACCTGTTCAGCGGGCGTTGCCTGCAGTATAGCGCCGCCACACGCCTCGTCCGCCGCCGAGCACCACTCGCCGCCGCCGGACTCCACACCGAAGTGCACGCATCTGTACAACAAATAGTAAATCAGAAATCAATGCTTCTTAATTCTACGCATATATTTATACGTTTACATTTAATTAAATGTCATTGAAAAAAAAAACATTGTTTACATCGGGTTATAACATACTAGCTTTCGCGATTACGTGCGCGCGAAATTAAAAAAATAGTATGTCTGCGTTTTTCTAGAATGAACTACATCTGAGACTTGATCGAGATCCGTTAAGCCTACTAAACACCCTGAACGTTCCCATCTTACTAATATTATAAATGGAAAAGTTTAGACGGATGGATGAATGTTTGTTAGAGTTTGTAGACTAAACAGCTGAACGGATCTCGAAAACATTTGGCTAATATAAACTAGCTTTCGCCTGCGACTCCGTCCGCATGGCATTTAAAAAAACAAAAATAAGTAGCTTATGTGTTCTTCCAGACTATCATCTACATCCATGGATGTAGAGGAAAGTCTGGAAAGAAAAATTCGCGGGAGAAAGCTAGTTTATAATATTAATGAAAAGTTAGAGTACGAGGTACAAAGTACTAACTGTTTAGCATGATCGATGCGTATCTGCATATCATTGTGTCGGACGCAGTCGACCAGCAGACGCTCCAGGTGGAAGAGGTCGGTGGTGTGCGCCAGCTGCAGCAGGCGCGCGAACTGCACGCAGGAGTAGCACTGCGCCACCTGCCGCACCAGCCGCACCAGCGCCACGTCGCGCAACGCGCTCGTGTACTGCGCCAGCGACGACACTGCAAAACACCGCTCTTGTACTCCACGCATCTTTACACTAACTTAACCATTTAACAAATATTGGAGTTATTTCTCACTGGACATTACTATAAAATTTATTTAGCATTGTTTATCAATCAATACCAACTTCAGGAAAATAATCTCTCTACATAAGTTTTTTCAAAATCTATTGAACCCACAACATAAAAACCTTCAAAGTTTACAATTTCTTAAAAGAAAAATCTCTTTAACACCTGCTTCAAGAAACATATTGTGTGTGTATTGCATACTTATCAATGGAGGACGCTGATAAAGATAATATTTCCCTGCCCCATGTGCCTACATCAAAAATACTGATGTAGATTTGACTGAGGTGGCACATAGCATATCTTACAAGCAAAGGATGGGATACTTCCCTTCAGAAAAGGGTGGGAAAGGAAAGAGGACAATAATTAGGTCTTCACACACACTCAACAGACTGTATACTGAATAGCTTATTATACTTTGTTTCAAATGTTTCGTGCTAGAGCTTTTGAGACTTGTTGAGAGATTTATTACTTTACTTACTCTTAACTCCATATAACAATAAATAAAAGTAGACCGTGTCTTCAAAAACACAGTTGTTATAATTAGTTCAGAAGACAGAGCCCCACTTACTTTTGTAAAAATGTTTTGATCAAGAAGATTTTTTTTTATTCTGATGTATTTTACTAACTTAACTAATATAAAGATATAAAAAGTTTCTCACACTCACTAGGCTCCTCTTGCAGATGCTTGACGACGGTCTGCACGTTGGCGCAGATGGTGAGCGGGTCGAACTCCACCTCCAGCCAGTTGTAGAGCTGCTGCAGCTGCGGCGACGCCAGATTCACAACATTCAGACGGATTACGTCTGAAATTATTTATACTCTTCACATTTGTTGTTGTATTTGCTTTAAAGTTCTCTAATTTACATGCCTTTTAAATATCAATATTGACTGATTATTGTTATTATTCAAAGAAATAAAACAACAAGATATAGATAGAGGACAAAAAAGATCAGATAGCTATTTTTACTAACTTGAAAGTTAGTATCGCAGATTTCAAAGTTAATACAATGCAAGTTGACATAATATACTGTAATTTTGGCATCACACTATTTAGTAGCATATCATATATTCAAAACAATGATCACATAATTATTTATGTTAATAAATATGTTTCTTTCATACATTTTTTTAAAGTAACTGTGTAAGTGTAAATAACACTAATAGTCAAGTAATTAACTACCAGTCGCGTCTAACTCACATATTGCTCTACCTCTGAGGCCTACCACTTATTGGCTATTGAAGCCATAAATGGGATTTATTTCAGAGGCACTAACTTCCAGATAATCCACAATAATCCATATGAAGTAGAGTTATAACTATTATGAAAACTTTGAGAAGTAATCCTTTTTTTTAGTAACATTGAGTATATTTCTTATTGTAGCTTTCTACAACTGAACATAAACAAAAAGCCTATGTAAATTATTTCCAAGAACATTGTTAGACACTGTTTAAATCTGACCACTTCTGAAATTATGGATATCAACTTGGTTATCACCACTTCACTTTTTGACCGACTTCCCAAAAGAAGGAGGTACTCAATTCGTCTGTATGTTTTTTTTTACAAGCCTATTCTTAACAATACCTCAATTTAAATCCATTGTTTTTAAAACCAATGACAAAGGCTACTCATAGTATAAAGTGTTAACATACATTCAAGCTATAGTGTATTTGAAACAATTTAATAGTAAGGTCCTATGTTATACAACATCACTTACCCTTCAACAAGCTGGCTCTGGTCGGTGGTTGTGCCAACCCCAAAAGGACAGCTAACCTCTGAGCCTTTTCCACAGGACTCTTGTCAGTTTCCACAAAACGGTCAAACTCTGGATGAAGTGATGGTAGAGGTACTGATAGAACTGCTACTAGGACACGGCAAGCCATTCTATATGGAAAAAATTATAATTGTTATAGTTTAATTTTAAAAAGAAATCAAATACCCAATTTTAGAAGGGATCAATGAAGCATTATTATGACAAATAATGTATTGAAATACAATACTTCGTGTAATTACTTGTTATATGCAAAAATATAACTCTTTTATCTATATGGATGGATAAAAAGTTAACTAGGTTTAGTAATTTTTTTAACAGTTATATTTTTAAACATAAATCATATGAATAAATTGATATTTAATAATCTGTGCAGACTTTAAATAACACAAACAACAAATAAACATTGCTTGTCGCGTCAAGACTACAGGTATGCTATCCCTCCGAGGCCTACCATTATGTTACCATTTAGGGTTACATATGGGATTTATTTCGGAGGCATACTAAACATGTTATTAAATTAAAAAAAAAGTAAAAACCAACAATCAATACAACGAAACTATGTTAAATTTTTATACCAAACACTTATTACCTTTTACATACAGGTATACAATATGATTTTTTTTACATTATTTTAATTTTACAATAAACAGTGGAGTTTTTTTATACTCATTTCTTTCAAACATATTTACCAAAAATAATTTAGTATCTGTGGCAGTGTCTATATATAAAATCTTACTTCTGCAATTCCTCTTGGGTGATATTCTTCTTCATTTCACGGGAGAGTTGGAACAGCTTGAGGAGTGCTGCAGCATGGAACAGACAGTGGCCAGCCTTCCAGAAGACCAGCGCCAGTTTGCCGTAGTAGTTGGCCATGGTCTTCGCCACTGGTGTCTTCTTTGACATGTTCATTAAGTTGTGGATGTCTTCTATTGCCTTGTATGCTTCCTGTATATATTGTGAAATTAAAAAAAAAACGTAATTAAATTTAAATTTCAACTGCATTTTCATGTAATGAATATTCAATAACAATATTGATTGATCTATTATTAATTAATTGTTTTGAATTATTTGATAACTATTGAATTCACAAAACGAAAATGATAAAACACTTGTGAAAACTTTCTTTAATCACAATTTTAATATTGACAAAATAAATTAATTAAGTTCTTAGCAACTCTAAAATAGCAAAACATACACAAAAAATATATTAAACACACATATGAAAGGATTTTTGAGTGTAAACACTACCCATGTAAGTAATTAAGAGTATTATGTGGATGAAATCTGACCTGCCACAATTCCATCTGTATAGCGCTGTCGAGTTGGAACAGCCTGGTCTCCAAGTTGAGCTGCTGTGTCTCCGGCTTGCTGATGCTTACGTTACCAGTTTGTACCTTCCATGAAAGTAGAAATAAAATACTGTATCAAACTGTAATTTTAAATTAAACTATAGTAAACTTGATGGGATATACTTAAAAATTAATCTTAGATTAGATAAGTTACATAACTTTTGATAAATTAAACTTTAAACTAAAAAAATGTCTTGACAAATCCATAATGTGGTGTAAATACAGACTAACTTTAAACTTGTACAAGTATATCAGGGCAAAGGTGAATTAAATCTTGACTGCATCCCAACTTACATTGTGTTTTACTTAGTTTATTAGTTTTAAAAAGAAATTTATAATTCAGTTGGCACAGTAGATAGTCCTTCCACATTATGTATCTGAACTACTGAGAGTAGGCTATCTAATCTTCAGGGATGCAATGCTCCGCAGTGGGTGATAAGTCTATCGAGTTTTTTTTACTTACTGTTGGTTTACAAATATCCTCAAGATGCTTCCTCAGCTTATCACAGAGTTTCCTGAACTCAGTCTTCCTAGAGTATTTGAGACAGAACTGGAACGCCATTCGAGCGATGTCATGGTACAGAGTTTCCACATGTGCATTGGTACGGAGCAACTCTAAACATTGGCAGTAGGATTCCCACAGGAATTTCACCTGAAACACAGTAATTAAAGCTTTTACTCAGTTAAAAAGTTAATTTTGATAAACACCTTGGTTACACCTCAAAGCAAATAAGTGATTCTTCTGTTTCCTTACCCATGGTGTCAGTATAGTTCTATCAGAGCGATCTTGTGCATCTTCTCCGGAAACTGCACTCAACAAGATACTCTCCGGGGTTGCCAAGTTATCAAGGTCATCGGTGTCAATCACAGCCTGTGTGGATTGAGCCCTGGCTGCCTCTGTGCGCTCCTCGGCCATGCGTAAATACCCTCTAAAATTGATACACATTAATTTAATAAACTTAATTCACCTTTTTTAATATATAGTTTTTTTTTCGGTACAAAAATTAGACAACCAGAACATATGTTTTTTTTATTACATGTTGTCATTTTGTTGAAATTTCTTTGATATTAATGAAAATAAAAATTATGTGAAGAAGTATAAAAATTAAATCATATAAACAATTAAATAGTTTGTAGGTCTTTTCTCTTAGAAAAATGTTATATCTATGTTATAATTTATAACTTGAAGAAGTTTATTTCTTCACACCATGGAGATCAATAATTGATCTCTGATCAGAATAATACAAACCTTATAACTTGTTCAAGCGACCCCACGTTGACAGATTGGAACATATTCCTGTACTGGAACAAGCCCTCCTTAGCGATATGAGACTTCCTCAGGTCCACGCAAAGTTCCAAATATTTGAACATAATCGGCTCCAGCACAGACTCGGACCAGTTGTATGCCCATTTTTTGTTTCGGAACACTTCCTGAAGTGTGTCCAAAGCCCGGGCTGGCTTGTCCAGTTCCATAAACTCTATAGGAGAAACCCAACATGTTGTTTGGTTATGTCGTAAAACTTACGTATTATTTGTGATGTAACACTCAAAAATTATGATTTTTAAATAAAAAATAATAGTGATGCTACAGAATTACGGCGTAGATATCCAACATTTAAGAAAGTGACAATAAATCAAAGCTGAACATGCAACGTGGTATGATTGCAAGAAATATGTACAAACCATTGGCCCGCTTGAGGGCATTTTCCGGTCTTTGACCGTATCTCGCCATCATTTAGACTGCTTTCTGATCACTTCATAAATGAAAATTTCAATATCCGAATATCGGCAGTAAAGAATTTATTGAAAAAATTCGTCACCACCGCTCACCGCTGACAAGCGACCACGAATCAAAATGGCGGACGAAGCAGGCAGAGGCCGAGGGAAATGCAAATGCAATTTTTCATAGCTGGCCTTCTGTAGATCTAATAAGGATAAAGATGTTACGCCTTTATTAAATACCCGCTATCAATTAGTTATTTTTAATGAATTAGTATAATATTAAATGAGTTTTTTTATTTATGTATTTAAAAACTTTATAAACTCATCAACTGTCAGCTTGACGTTTAACCGATTTGTCAAAAAAGAAAATTGTCATGTCAATGTCACGTTGTTACAATTATCAAGTTAATTTCATTTATTTTTGGCCATAAAAAGTTATTGTAACCTATTAAAAAATGAGAGTATTTATAAAGTTATTGCTTTTTAGACAACCGTACACAATTTGCTACATAACGAAAGATGTTTTTATGCTACCAGATGAGCATTATTACAAAGCAATTGGTCTAAATGTCGGCGAATGTTATGATCATATAGAAACACTAACATTATCAAGAACAAAAAAGTTGAAATATACAATAAATAGTTTATTCTTAAAAGCTTTCCTAAAAGAATGTGTTATCTTTGATAAATACAGATGTAATGTAGTAAAGAATATTTACCAAAAATGTAAATATAAGCAGAATGAACCAATATTTTTAAAACTTATTTTGGAACCACCAGACCAAGAAATTATTGATTATGAATGGTAAGTACACATACATAGTGTAGAAAATAAACGTTAAGTGTGAATGCGTCCATAAATGGACGAATGTTTCTTACTCTAAACTCCAGGAACACCTAACCAAGTTTATATTTGTAGAAGTTAGTGTTATGTATTTTCAACTTTTAAACTATTAATAAATATAATAAAAGCAATATTTATAGTTTGAATACTTTTCAGGAATGATAGATTGAATTATCTGATATGGACTAGAGTTGAAATAGAAAATGCCTTCTCCTGGCTTTCAACACTTGGAGGTGCATATTCAGCATTAGGCGATTATTTTGAACATTGTGTAAGTTTAAAATTTACTGAAAATGCTAAAGTAACAATTACAAAATAAAATATTTGCTTCATCAGTAATTCAGTTTGTGTATAATTATGTTTTATGTAAAAAAAAGTTTATATCACTATACTAGAGACAAACTGAAGTCTTCCAATATTCTTTCAGGCGGAAGAAGCGGGAAGAATATCCTTGAGACAGTACAAACTTTCGAGAATGTTGGGTGATGATGGGCTTGCAGCACGGAGTAAGTTGTATTCCTCAATCGCATATGCTCAGAGAGGAAAGCTGAAGCTTGCAAGATATATAGTCAGAGATATAGCCACATTTGCAAGACAGACTCATGATAGAAGACTAAACCGTATGTGCCAAGGTGTTTGGGCGAAATTGAAATATTTACGAAAGTTAAAACCAACAGTGATAGTGAAAGATGAAATCAATAAACCAGTTGTAAATATGGTTGGCAGAGGTGATGAAAAATTTGAAATAACCCAAATGGTGTGTGTAAAATGAATTTTGTTTTATACTGTGTAGTTAAATTTAAGTGTATGTGCAATAAATTTTTACTATATTGATTTTAAGACTTATTTGTAACTCGGTGAAGTTATCAAATTTTCTGACATAAGTTTATCTATACAAAGTTTATATGTTACAAAGAGAACAGATTTGTATTTTTGTATGTATCAAAGAAAGTCAAAAACTACTGGTCCAATTTTAAAACTTTCAAGCCGTTTCAAAATTACATTATTTCTGAGAAATAAAGGCTATATTACTGGAAAAAATATGAATATATGAAATTATAATAAAGCATACACACTTTTTTATTGCCTAAGTTGTCAGCCAGTACAGCATGTTTATGAATAATTCATTGTTAATAAACAGCCCTACACTTACGTCACGCTTTAGGCTACATATTTTAACGCCATTAAACTTAGGGGGTAAATATTTTGGATAAAAACCCTAATGTGGGAAAGTGACCATAAGTTGCTGCCAAAATCAAGGAAGCAAGGTTGTCATCATGTCATGTCATTTTGACATTTGTAATTGATGATTTGACAAATGTAAACAATAAAATTAAATTTTCATAATTTCATGCGGATGAAGTCGCACGGGAACAGCTAGTTTGAAATAAAACAATATAAACAATGAATGTTTTATATTTCATTAAAGTACATTTCCACTGCTGAACTATACAAACTATTGTAAATAAACAGACATTTTATACAGTTATTTCTACAGTGGAAATTCAGTTACATCTAACACATGTATTGAAAATTATTGCTCACAAAACATATTGGTAACTATTTATGAACACAATTAAATTAGCACCAGTTTATATGTACTTTAAGCCATTTACATACTCTTAGTTCTGTCAGTTTTAAGTTAACAGTTAAAACTGTACAATAAGTAAAATTTTAACTGTACAGTTCAATTGATAGTTGAAATTTTCCCTATATTTTACAGTTTTATCAGTTTGACTGTTCAGTTAAAACTGAATTGTATTTGATTGACTGTATAATGCTTTTTTTCCATCGGCAAATGTATTTATGTATGGCAGATGCATGTATGATTATAAACATTTTTCTAAAACTTCCCTTATAACAAGTGTTGAACATTTTACTTCAGAAGCCTCCAAATTCAGTATAAACAACACTAATTTCCATCAATTGCATATTTTCTCATTAAATCTGTGAATCCACAGACATTTGTATCAAATGATTGCATCCTTGTCTTCTACAAGAAAAAAGTAAATAATAAATTTAGTAAGCAATTTCAAAGTTAAATTTTAAGATGTAATCAAATAGATATGGAAAATTAAAAGAACTAATCTAAAGGATTTTACAAAATTTAAGAAACATTTTTGTCTCAACAAATGTTTATAAATAAATTCGTAGTGTAAATTAAAAAATCCTAAAAAAGTACATTGCATACAACAAAAAATATTATAAATTTTGAGATTCCCTAAAAAATATTGATTGGTAGCTTCTGAATATATTTTCCCAACAATTTACTTAATCCTTGCAACACACGGGACAGGCGAGCGTGCCCATGGGGTCCCAGGCTGGCAACACCTTCGCCTCTTGCTTGAACACCTCCAATACTGAATCTGGTACGAATTTTTTATCTACAACAACCTGAAAAAATCATCAATGACAATAAATATTTGAATTCAGCTTCCAATATAAAGATATATGACAAAAATAAGTAATAAAGCTATTACGCAACCATTTAAACTATGAAATGTTTAGTTAAATCGTATATATGTGTTAACTTTTTAACTATTTTTGATGTATTCTGTATTTTTAAAAGTTATTTGTTAATTTGTGCTATTTCTCAATACATTTATCTTTATTTAAAACAACAAGAAATTTTGCTTACACATGTATTTTTTAACTGTACAGTTTGATTATTTAGTTAAAACTAGCCTTAATAATATTAAAATAGCCTTTTATTGATACACTTTTTTAGTTTATCTAGGAATAGCATCGCTGTTTTAGTACTTAAAAATAAAAAAAAAATTAAATAAGGCAAAAATTTCTATGTATACAGTTTTGTATTGATGTTTTTTTTTAACAATTAATTTCAGTTTCAGTATACAAGAATAGAATTGAACTAACCTCAAAAACAAACTCCTTGAACCAAGGCGTGGTAAGAAGCAAGTAACCTTTGTCATACTCTTTGTCTCCATAAGAATTCTCCACTCGGAATTTCAATGGATTTCCTTGTTCCTAGAAATTTAAACATGCATCATTAAAATTCGACCTAACAACTAGATGGCGTTATTTTCAATTAGTTTACACTAATATTATAAATGCGAAAGTTTAAATAAATGGATGGATGTTTGTTAGAATTTGGAGCCTAAACGGTTGAACGGATTTCTATAAAATTTTGTATAGATGTAGAGGATAGTTTGGAAAAAGACATAGGCTACTCAATTTTGTTTTTTAATTCCACCCAGACGGAGTCGGGGGCGCAAGAAATTTAATCATTGATTTGTGATACAGTTCATAATATGTAAATGATACATACATCAGTTCCTACAGCGGTGAACACCATAGCATGTGTCATACATGAATCGCCATACATCAACCGGTCAGCCTTGTTTAGACCAACTTGCACTTCTGTGTTGAACACTAGCTTGAAATCTTGCCTAGAAAAATATACCATATCATAAAAGGAGAATCATTTGCTTTAAAAATAATTGTAAAATAGATTTAAAGCACTGCTAATAACAATGTATGAATATAAAATGGTGTTGGTCCTTCAAGTCGGATAAAGATTTAGTTGAATTATTAACTTTTGTAGTAATTAGCAGATTTGACATTGGACAATATGGTGATAACTATTATTCTATAATAATTGGGTGAACAAATAACAAGTACTGTGAACTCACGCATCCAAGTCTTCAAGTCCGTTCTTACGTTCAAATCTCTTGGAAACCTCGCACCCAAACCACACCGCCTCGCCGCCTTGGATACTGTCTTTGACAACCCTATATAACAAACAAATAAATAATAGTTTTTCTTTATAACCTAGTATTTTTGCATGTAACCTTTTATTGCTGATAACAAGAAACGGTGGCCGTTCTATTCTATACTCTTAGATATCGCTGGTTGTGTCATATCAAGACCACTTTAGTTGATCTCCTGTACCATATAATCTACATACTTTATGAGGGTCGCGACAAGCTGATTGTGTGATATGTCCATGTTTGTTGAACTCCTGTACCATATATTTCACGTACTGCAGGAGGGTCAAGCTGCCAAGCTGGTTGTTAACAAGACCATATTAGTTGACCTCATGTTCTATAGGAAATACATACTTCATGAGTGTCTCAATAGGCTGGTTGTTGTACGCAGTCTGCCGGCCGCCCACCATATTGCCAAGGCAATGCAGCGTGTACAAGTTGCCGAAGGGATTAGATTGTCTCGGGTCACTCACCAGACAAACCTAAGAAATATATTTGTTAAGCTTTCACCGATAGATGGCGTGATTCTTAACCTAAGTTTTGATGTAAAATTTATTAGATTTCCACAGAAATTACAACCTGTTTGTTTTTTATAATAGCCTATAACTTTCTAAAATAATTTGACCGTCAAACAGTATAAGGATTTGAAAATTCGATTAGTATTTTTAAATTTTACAGTGAACAAACTTGGGCATTATTTTATGATAGTATTAATACTTGACCGGAACATATAAAAACTGTACAAAAGGATATAATAGTACAAGGTCTCACTTAAACTTATAATAGCGTATTTATTAACTAATCTGTGTCGAAGTTAGGCTAGAATTCTAGTATATTTAGCTGATATTGTAGATATAGCAACATACCTTGTCATCAACATTGAAAAGTGGTCGAACATGTTTGTTATAGAACTCCTGCGGGCTGAGAGGACCAAAGTTATTGTACACTTTCTCCTTGTTGTAGAATTCCAATGTGAATTGTTCCGGAGGAGTACCTGAGAGTAGATTTTGTTAGAAGTTTTGAACAAGGGAATAAATAAAATTGATGATTGCTGTGATATTTCTATACTAACAAAAAAGTAGCCTGTGTTCTTACAGGCTATCTTCAACCGTTTAGGCTACAAATTCGTAAAAAGCAAACATCCATCCATATAAACTTACACATTTATGTTAGTAATTAGTTTCCGTCTGCGACTCAGGTGGAGTGAAATAAAAAAATTACCCTGTGTGTTCTTCCAGGGTTTCTTTTACATGCATTAATATTAATAATATTTCATCCAGATCCAAACATCCATCCATATTAACCATTAGTAAGTTTTATATTATAGTTACCAAGGCAGGTAGCAACGATATGATATATGACGGCCATCTGCTTGTCGATGGTCTTCTGTATGTCTGCGTCCGTCGCCTGCGCACACACCTGGTCTCGTAACTCCTTCGCGAATTCACGCAACTGGAAACAAACATATATTTAGTAAGCAGTTTCCATTGGGATATAATCACAATCGGTCGACTGATGGAAGGGCCAACGGGAAACCTTTTGCACTTTGTACTATTTATCTCCTAACTAGCTTTCGCCCGTGACTACGTTCGCGTGGAAATAAAAACACAAATTAGTAACCTATGTGTTCCTGCAGACTAATGTCTATATCCATACCTTATTACATCGAAATTCGTTCAGCAGTTTAGGCTACAAACTCTAACAAACATCCATCCATAACTTCGCATTTATAATATTAGTGTGATTTAAATTTAATTCCACCTCTTTCGTACATATAGTTAATAATAATAATAAATTAGTAGTTGATTTAAGGGAAATACCCTTATTCTGTGCGATCCCCTCTGTTGATTAAAGTTAGGCAAACGCAGAATGTAAATGTCGAAGCTCGGCGAACATTTCGCTATTTTAGCGAATTGGGAAGTCCGATTGCTTGTTTATTACCTTATACTATAAAAAGTGTGCATATCCTATGTTCAAGTGTACCTATGCAAAATATACTACGAATCATCTTGTAGTAATGCTACCTTCTTAATTTTAGTATAAAATGCATGCAATGCAATAACAGCATGAATATTTCCATACAGTTCTATATTTTGTATGATTTTACCTTAGTTTTGATGATAGCATTCATATGCAGGCTGCGACGAGAACTGAATGACTCGGGGAAGCACTTCTTGGGCATAAGGCCATACTTGTTGACCAGGTTCACGATCATGTCCCACTGTCCACCATCATTGATGGGATCCTGGTAGTTGGAAAATAAAAACATTGCAATTACGCATCTTTTAATAATAATTCTAACTTTTTTAAAACTTCATTCTGTTAAACAATATATTTTACACTAGCATCTTGCGATTTTGACGCAGAATTAAGAATGTTCTAGTGACAATTATTTCCGTATTATAATGTATTCTAATAGCAAATTCATTTATAAAAAAAAAACTAATATTATAAAGAGGAAAATTTGTTTTTTGAATTTTGTATATGTTAAAATAACTCAAACTACTGGTCCGATTTCAAAAAGTCTTTCCCTCATTAAAAAACTACGTTATCAATAAGTAACATAAGCTATTTATTTCAGGCAGAAGTCGCGAGCAACAGCGAGTAAAAAAATAAAATTACACCCTTTTAAAATATAAGTATTATTATTTTAAGTACCAAAAGTACCAAACTTGGAGTTTTAGGTAAAGATGATCACTATGTTATTTAAAATAAAATTAGAATGATATTCCTTGTATATTTTAAAATCAGAACATGTTTAACCAAATAATATTTCAATAAATTAAAAAAAAATAACCTTTAATAAAAAGTTGACAAGTCGTCCCTCCAGTTCCTCCCCTTGGCGGGCTGTCTGTACAATGTTATTCAACCAGTAGTGAGACCGTTCTATTTTGTCCCAGAAAAATAGATAGCTGTGAATTAAATGAAAATTATACAATTGTACCTATCATTGAGGGGTTGGGACCTAATTCAGTTACACTAAGCCCTTAGTAATCTACGAAACGCTTATAAGTGCTTTACTGTATGCCTTGCTATTTACTATACTAAAAGATATGCGTTTTTTTTTTGTTTACAATATTTCTGCAATTTTATATTATCGCGGTTAAACAGAATAGATAGAGAAATAAATGTATTTGTATTTTTTTTAATAGAGGGCATTTAGAGGTCATTTTCTTTGATAACAAAAATTGTATGAAAGTTTTTAATTCTCTGGCGCACATAACAACTATTATCAATCTAAAGTTATCGAGAAATGCTTCTATTGAGGTGTGATAATAGATAAGATAATTTAATCAGTACAATCGCTTGAATAAATGTAAACAAAAACTGATATAACAAAGGTAAATATTACATAATATAATTATTTCCTTTAGTTCTGTTTTATGTTTTTCTTAATTGATTAAAAGTAATTCTTTAATTTTAATTTCATTCATTTTCAGTTTAGAAAAATAGTTTGAATTAAGAATTTTAAATGTGAATTTAAAAAAGTCATAAACCATAGAAACTTTGATAGTATTCATGATAAAAATGTAGATTCTTTATTATTTTAAAGCAATAAATACAAACCCTTGAGAGAACTCAAACTCATCGAGTGCATATTTCTTCATGAAGGGCAAACGCATTACATTGAGTGCAGCAAAGAGCCAGCACCGGCCTGTGTTCTCTTGGTTGGTCACCGGCTTACCCTCAGACTCCAACTACATAACAAATTTAATGTATATTACTAGGTACTAGGTTTAGCCTGCGATTCCATCAGCATGGAATAAAAAACTTAGAACTTAGCCTATGTGTTCTTCCAGAGTATGTCAAATTTCATTAAGATTAGTTCAGCATTTAGGCTATGAATTCTAACAAACATCCATCCAAGTTTACCATTAGTACCACTTATAACATATCTTTATTGTACTTTTAAATTTATGTTTTTGTCCAATGAAAAAAAAAAACCAAACTTTTGGAATTATAATGATGAGATTAGAAAGATATATTGTGTGTAAACCTAAAATAGACCTGACAGGAGGCCATTTTGTCAGTTTTTATCTAATTCGATCTACTGAAAATACTATGGTAATGTTTATTAGGAACATAATTGTAAAAGTTTACCTTAATATTATAGACATGCAAGGTGCTGTCAGCTTGTCTCCGTCTGATGGCAACTTCAAATGGATCGAACCGAGTGCAAGCATTCTGTGCCAGTTCATTCTTTGGATCTTCATAGTACTTCTCTTTCAATTTACTTAATGTCGCCAAATTAAGAGGTTCTAGAAAATAAAGACTAGTTAACATCTCGGGTAGTTTTCTTATAGAAGATTGCAAAGCAAATCGTCACTAATTTCTATAAAATAGTGATAGCTGCCCATAGACATTGACAAAAAGCAGATGGGTCTATTTTCTATATTTCTTTCTCTACTAAATCTACTTTGCCTTTCATGTTAGACATGTGTAAATCAGTTTGAAAGTTTGGACCACCTACATAAATTGTTGAATTGTGGCTCGACCACTAAATTAACAGCTCATGGGTCATAACTAGTGATTCATATCTCAAAAATAACATCGTAACTCTATGCAGGTGCAAATTGAGTAGCTAAGAGCTGCTTCAATGATCTACTTCAACATGTCACAGATTATATTGTATTTAAAATATAAGTAGTATTCATATTTAACAAACTCATTCTTTACAATATAAAATAAATACCAACCACCCACACTCTGTACTCCATGTTCAAGCTTAAAGTTGCCCAGTTTTATTGTTTTATTTTTACTCTATACTGATAAGTTATGCGAAATCAACTCACTTGAGTGAAGAAACTCAATGCCCATGAAGTATTGTTTATTTTTAAAACCAAGTGAATTACAAATTGAGATTTTGATTAATTTATTAATTATCTTATTCATTTAATAACATACAACCATATGAATTCATTTTTTTTACTTAATCTGACAATTTGTGATAAGTTTCTTTCAAAGTGACAGTGAAATAATTTCTTTATAAATCTTTGTGCTCACAATGCGACCTACTTTTGATTGAAATGTTAAAGTAAAATTAAATAAAAGCATTGAAATTCCTTACCCGTGGACATTGCAGCGGCAATCCTTATCGGTGGTTTGTATTTAAATAAACTTGATAAAATGGTATTATAGAGCATTTAATACATACAAAATTGAATAATTAACACTGTAATCTTATCGTAATCCACGTGTCATTAAACAAATGAAATTTAATCCGTTGAAATGAAAGGGAGGGAAATTATAAAATTGTTTGAATTTGAACTACTTTCTCACTCAATCGTGTTTTTTTAATGACAGATGACGGCAGAACAGATGACTTTCAGTTTTATTCAAGCGACATGGTGCGGGTCGGGCATTGAACTCCCTCAGCTGTTAGACAGCTGTGTAATTCTAAAAAAAACAATTACTTGTAAATAAACCAAAATTGTTATTATTTTTTGTAGCTAAATCTGAACATTAAGCATTAATCTAACTAATTGAATTTCAGAAATATTATTTATTTTTATTGCTACGTTAATTTTTGAGTATAGCAACAATCATAATGGCGCCTTATTCAAATCGTGTACCAAAAGTGTATTACTATTTTTAATATGTATATCTTCGAATATTAAGGGAAATATCGCAATTCAGTACATTTCATAATGTATTTAAAAATAACTATGTGTATGGGTGTCAAGTACGCGATTTGCAAGCAGTTTTATCTGTAGCGAGAGAAAATCAATACTAATTTTTGACACTACTGGTAACTCCCTCTTTTTCTAGCTATTTGTGTTTCATGCTTACTTTAACAATTTGCTATTGTAAGTCATGGATTATAAATGATTACCTAAATGTAACGTCAAATAGCTGCTACTTTTAAAACAAGTGTAACAAAACATAAAAATGTCGCTTAAAGCTTACGAAGATGCGTGCACCAGGGCTGAATTGTTCGGGCAGCCTTTGCCTGATAGAGAAGAATTTTTGGAAAAACACAAATACATGGATGTTGTTGAATTCGAGGAAGTGGATATAAGAACAGCTGAGGTAAACAATTTTCATTACTTTTGATTAGAGTAAAAACAAATGTGGTAAATCCTTACTTAGCAAAATATGCGCAATGCGTAGAATTAAATGTGTTTGTTGTTTTACAGTTCTTTTTTCATTTGTTTTAATTATTTTTGCAGCTTTTAATAATTTTAAGTTAAACCAATACCAATTTTCAATTCCAATTTTAAGAAAATGACTTAATTTGTTGAAAGCTTGTTAACAAGTGCCACTAGATGGCAGTACTAGTTTCAAAATAGAACTAATTTTTATGGCAATTTATAGAAATCAGAAACTATTTGTTTTAGGACCTTAATATTTAAGTCAATGGATGAATATACTATTTTTAGGCTAACCTACTTGTATTTGTTATTGCAGAATACGGCAATGTTAGATGACGACCTGAAACACGCGAATAGTGGCTTAACCGAGTTGAATACGATTCTCTCCTCTACACAAACGAAATTAAATCGTCTAAAGGTATTATAATTTATATTATAGAAAAGTACAATTTAACATTTAAATTTATTATATAATTTCTTGTATTTTTCAGGGTGTTTGCGGTAGTTTAACGAATTTTTTTCGCGTCAAACTAACTTCAAAAGATAATCTATCTTATTCGAGTGAACCGAGTTACATCGGTCAAGTAAATTATTCAAATAATATCCCTAAAGATACGGACGGAATAAACACTGGTCTCGGTCCTGAAGATAGCGAATTTTCAAGAGTACCAAAAATAAAAGAACATGGCGCCGATATTAATTCAGCGATAGACGATTTGAAAACGATGAAGAAAATTGAGAAAACACCGATATTAAGGATCGATAAACAAGTGGACTCACAGAATTCTAAGTTAGATAACTTGATAATGCAAGCTGATAAAGCTCAGTCGTCACTACAACATCAGAATAAGCAAATGAGAAGTTTTCTACGATAACTTATTGCGATACAATGGTTCACATTTGGCCAGTACAGTTGGACAGTAACTGGAATAGAATTCAACTGGCATAATGTCGACACTAACTGGCGCCAGTGAGTCCATACAATCAATACATGGCTTGCATTACTGTCTCATACTAGCCAAGTGTGAACAATAAAACACAGTGGGTTTTTGCAGCCGAAACAACTAAACATATAGTCATCTCTATCACTCTCTTGGGAAAAAAAGAGATAACGTTATTGTTGTATTGTGGCAGTTGAAACTATCGTATAGTTGTATTCAATAGAAATGAGAAATATTAACAAACCTATTTATTTTACAGTAAAATCACAGAGTTAATAGAAATAGATATGTTTGTATGTTTAATGTAAACGCTAAAATCATCATCTCTCCTGCCTTATCCTACTCCCGTAGGGTCGGCGCACCGGGTTTTCGTCCTCCAAAGCACTCTATCATCCGTCATCTCAGCCATCACTCCCTTGATCATGTCTCCTTTCACGCAATACATCCATCTCTTTCTAGGTTTACCTCTACCGGTGTACCCCTTGACATTCATAACTAACGTCCGTTTTGTAAACGCTAAAATGTTCCAAAATAAATTCATAGACTTTAATCGATAGCATTAGTATAAAATGTGCAAATATTTCTTATTTCCATTGAATCCTACTATACGAGTATGACTTGAAAGTCTTCGTAAATTAAAAAAAAATGAATATGCTTTATTGATATTAATATAGACAGTTTATTGTAATATAAACTTTTATTAAAAATATAATAATGCCAAAGAAATACTTAAATTCAAAGAAGCTACGCATTGTTTATTTTAGTAAATATTTAAGAAAAAAAAAAAACTTTAAATTGATGCTATTATTCATAATTTCATATATCCTATACTAATTAAATATGCTTATAGGCTAGCTTTTATTCTTTATTTAAAAAAAATATGTCTAAATGCATTGTGATATCACTGGCTGTAATGCTATATTTTTAATTCTGTTATTTCAATGTTGAATGAAATTAAAAAAAATAAACATTTACTTCGTTTCATTACATCCAGCGTAAACAGTAACGTTAATGAAGGACGTCCAACAATAAGGAAACACATCTTCCTTGTCATTCCCCAAAGAGCTTCGACATTGAGTCAAGGTCAAACAAAAACTGTACCGTCTGAAGCATAACAACGTCTTATATAAATGTCTGATTATTGTACCATGACATTAGAGTGCAATCTAAACGTAACGATGCTCGTCGCTATCATTTGTCAACTGATAGTTGCTAGTATTGCAAGTCCATACCACAAGTATCCATTCGTGTTCCTACTAGATGTAGGCAATGAAGAACTAGCTAACACCAACACGGAACAGATACGACTATCGATACCTGGTGGGTCTCTAGCAGTGCGATATCCAGCGATATCTGACGAAGATCTGATAACGCACGTACGAGTGAGTAGTATCGATTTCGGATCCGATCTCAAAGCTAGTATTTTAGACGGTGGACCTGGGTATAAATACGTCGTTCTTGTATTCCTGGGTAATGTTGGTGTGACATGTGATGCGGTAATAACACTACAAACGCTACCCAATCAAGAAACTAGTAGTGAACCATCTATTGGTTGGAGTGTTAACTCAATGTCCCAGACATCCGATGATGTATCCCAGAGTGAAATTGATAATAGTATAGAAGCCATGAGCAATGACCCAGTAAAAAGCAAGAATGTAGATTTAGCACTGCAAAGTTCTAATGATAATTACGCTAAATTATCTAATGATGATGATGAAAATGATTCAAGTGAAATAAAAGATGAATTAGATGAAGATGATAAGAGACAGAATATCAAAGAACAAGATTCTTCTATTGTAGATGAAAGTAATGAAGAAACTGACGACAAAATTGAAGAACAGAACTCTTCAAATGATAGTGATGATGATGATGATGATGATGATGGTTATGATAATGATAATTATCATGCAGATAGATTCCAAGGTTACCAAAGTAAATATAAGAGTAATAAATTTACAAGTAAAAAAAATGATGGCTTATCAGACCAAGATGCTAGAATGTATATCCAAGACTCAATTTACGACTCACAAGGGCATAATTCCGCAGAAGATTCCGTGGAATTAGACCAAGTTTTCAATGATGAAGAAATACACAACGATTCTGATAAATACAAAGATTCTAATAATAATAATTTTGATTCAGAATACGGATCCGCAGTAGCGTGAAAATAACTGAAGTGTAAAATAACGTGAAAATACAGTTAAGTAGAATTAAATGTTGATATAGAAGTAAATTAATATGTTATTTAGATACCAAAAATTAAATTAAAGAAAATGTTACTTTAATAAATGTGTAAGGCGTACGAAATTTTAATTAAAAATGTAACCCCAAAATTTTGTTAAGGTTAAAACATTGGCGTTCATAATTTTATGATATCACTTATTTAATTCCTTTTTCTATTGTTACTTTGGCGACAACCACAACATATAGATTGATCAGGAATATAAAAACCTTTGTTATAACAAAAAAAATAGAACTATTCTCTTTACACATATGTATTAAAAAATAAGGGGATTGAAGGAGTCCTAAACCGGGATTTTATGTTCTTGGTTAAGCTATAAGTATTTTTTATGTAAGTTTTTGATTACTAAATATCTGGATATCTCAAAAAGATAAATTATCGGAATCATTTGAATTGAAAAACACAAGTAAATCGGTACATATCAAGTAAGAAAATTATTTTACTTACAAATTACGTCTTTCATTTACCTGTATCTGTGACCGACCCGTGACATTTTTCCTGCATAGATTATGTCGGCAAATTTCCATGTTGTTTTTTATGTAGGCGTACACGCGCCCGCCTCGAATAAATATGTCACCGACAAATCGTGTCTCGCCCGTTTATACTGTACCTATGCAAATTTTAAAACGAATTAATTCATTAAATGGCGTGTTATATATCTACACTATGCATGCGTGAATTAGCTGAAATTTTTTTTACCAATAACTAGCAACAGCTAGACGTAGTCACGAGCAACAGCTCGTCATTACGTCTGCGTGAAATTTAAAAATAATAAAAGCATAGCCTATTTTTGACCGACTTCCCAAAAGAAGGAGGTACTCAATTTGTCTGTATGTTTTTTTTGTATTTTTTTATGTGTGTTACGACATAACTTCACCGCTAGTAGACCCAAGCGGTCTGGTGGGTCCCATTTTTTTGGTCGATTTTTGGAGTCAAAGACTACGACGTAGTTAAATAGTTTAGCTTATACTCACTGATAACAAAGCTTTTTAATATCAAAGGAATTTTTGAAATTGGCCTGGTAGTTTTTGAGTTATTTAAATACATACAAAAATACAAATCTTTATAATATTAGTTTAGATAAAGTATAACTAACTTGTAACAATTGAACTAAAGTAACTTTATTTTCTGATATATAAGTGACACGTAACTTTATGAATTTGTATCGTATGTGTACACGATTTGCTGGTGACATAAAATCAATTTGAAAGTTCCACGTGTAATTTATCGTATCAAGGATGGATTTTACCCTATAATGATCATTTAACTTGTTTGTGAATACTTATAAATAACTTTAAGTCAGGCTCGTGTATTGGATACACGAGCTAGATAAGTTCTCTGAGATATTAATTTTATTTTTAAAAATCTCTATCGTTAAGTTGATAGTAATTTAAATAAATCTGACCATTCTGGAACGTTTAATTCGCTATCTTTATTGTATTTCAATGTATTTCTTACTTTAAAATTACTCATTTTAAATTTAACCGTCGAAAACACTCGAAAGTTTAAGGCACAATTCCATGAAACACGTATTTAAATTCTGTAACATCATTTATGTTAGAAAAAAATCTAGCTAATTCTATAGTTGATAGTTTATATACGACGGTAACAGTAGAAGTAGGAATGCTTAACGTTACAGATGAAAAAACAGAATTAAGTTGTAAGCAAAGAATAGAATTGTTTCTACAAACGATTCTCGTGAACATAGTTGTAACATTTCAAAGCGGCTTTATCGTTGCTTAGGCAATTTAATAATCCTCCAGTAATTTTGCTACAACAATGTATGTACTACAGTTATTGTACAAATTGTGAAATATTATAAGCGTTTCTAAAAGAAAGGGCTTAATTTCAAAAATTATTTTTTTTAAATATTAAAAATATCGGTGAAATATAATTTATAGTAGTGAAAACGCATCCTAAATAATGTATTTCGATCAAGAGACGAATTTAGTTAGTAAAATTCATTCGATCTAACGGTCGATAGAATTTCAAATTCGAACATTTCAGGCGAACGTTCTGAAACCCTGATTTCGAAAGGTCGCGAAACCGTTTTGTGATGAATTTTCCAGATTAAATCTGGATACATTTCATTCATATGTAACAATTGTTAGGGACGATAACGTGACTTAAAACATATTTAAATGATAGTGGAAAAATTGTAACTTTGGTACAAAAAAACCATCCAGCGTTAACTATATTCTGAAAAATAAATTTTGACCATAGAATACGATAGTTTCAGGTTTTAAACTAGTTTTTAGGTTTAAAACTGCCATGTAGAGTTTATGATGGTTTGAGACATCGCAAGAAACTTTGCGAACATAATTTTAAGAATGATAAAAAAAGACTTTTTTTTTGTAACATAAGGTGGCAAACGAGCAAGCGACCACCTAAATCCACCGAAATGGAAAGCGGCTGCTGCCCACGAACATCCGCAATTGCAGATGCGTTGCCTACCCTCATTTGACGGAGGAGAAGCACATAAAGAGGACAAATGTCCTGCTCCACCGTCAAATTCACTTTTCCTTCCCATCCTTTCCTTTTGAGAAAAGGGTGGAAAGGGAAAGGGACTAAAATTAGGCCTTCGGCACCACACTCATCAGATGAAACGCGAAATTGCTTCCATTATGCGTCTGTTTTCTGTGTGGTCGTGGTATTACATCGGGCGAGCCGGCCCGTTCTTGCGAAGATGTTAAAGCGGGCTCTACCGCTGTTATTAAGAACTAATTGAGAACCTCCTCTTTTTGGGAAGTCCCTAAAAATCAGTTGCAGAATAGCTGTCTATTTTTACTTAGAGCAAAAAACGAGATGACTGTAAGATCTACTTTTACTTCGTTTACTACATTATTCGTATGAAATGAATTAAACTGATTTAGTAAGCTTATACTTAACATGTAATGCCTATAAACGGTTTTATTCAATGTTCCCTGTTTATTTATTAATATTTCACAAAACACGCATTAAAAGGCGTCCCCTGCTTAGCATCCTCTGCATTAAACAAAATCCTTAATCTATTCTGATTTCTGACAGGCCACTGGCCATCGAATATTGAGCACAAAAACGGTCCAATTCGAATTACAAATGGCACATTCGAAAATAGAACGTCGCTGTCCCGGCCTAGAGATGAACCGTTATC